GGTGGGGGACTTGAATTCGAGCTTACCCCAGCGGCGAGGGGAAAGGCCTGGCGTTCAAGGACTCCAGGTGTAGCGTCGGCTCCTTTATCAGAAAACAGGGAAAGAAATTCGTTTGCTTTGGAAAAAGCCTTGCCTTGCAAGGTCGGGAACATCTGGGGGTGAATTCTGGTTCTGCACCCGGGCCCGTGGTGGGATTCGTTTATGAGTAGTCAGTATTTGAGAACCTTGTAAGGGCCAAAGCGGGCCGCTGCGCGTCTGGAGAATGTTTCCCAGCCAGGCTGACAAATTGCAAACAAATTGCATCTAACGAAATGCATTAAGCAGTTGTCGTGCCATCAGCCATCAGGCATCTGAGCAAAGTAGAGCTGTTGATGGAGAGGGAGCTGGCCCTAGACCGACCATCTGCAGGCCTCAGCAGGACCCTGAGGTGGGATGTGGAGACTAGAACTTGAGGAGGAATTACAGACTCTCAGGCATCTAAGCCAAACACCTAGGGCACTGGATACTAGTCGCTGTATTTCTAAAAGAATCAGAATAAGACAGTCGAGCCTTTGGGATGCCAGGAAGACTTTTGATTTGAGGGACTGGAAGTGAACCCCAAAGAGCAAGAGGGACTGTTAGGACCCCTCTGGATGGGTGGAGGCTGCCTGGGGCATATCTGAGTCCTGGACCTAGAAAGGGTCTTGGAGCCCCACAAGTCAAAGCTCCTCATCTTCCTTCCCAATGTCCTTCAGAGCTTATTATCAAGGTGGGCTAAGAGGCCTCTGGGTTGCGAATTGACATCAGTATAGAAGATAGTATTAAGCTAGGGGCTTTCCTTAAACAGTCTTCCCCACTGAAGGCCACTTAGCTTAGGAAAAAGAAGAGATTAGGTTAAAAGAAGAGGGCAAACTTGTGATCCCTGAGGGGTTGCTGAATGACCGAACTTTAAACAAAGCTCAAGTGAACGGGCTGGTATGCCTCCAGGGCTCCCCACCTGGCCTTCCAGACTGCTTTGCAGGAGCCGGGCCTCACCCAGAACCGGCCTAGATCCACAGAACCCAGCACCCTGGCAGAAGCACCCAGCTGCCATGTTACATGCTCTACAGGAGAGTTGAGGTCATTTAAAGGGGGCAGTTTGAAAATTCAGTTTCGGAGCCAACCTCTCTCTGTCCTTTGAGAAATCTTGTTTCTCTGTAAGGAAAATGACAGTTTAATTCAGAAAAAGACAGCCCCAGCTATGCTCCAGAATGAACAAAAATTTTAAAAGGACAAACGTCCACTTGAATGTGTTTTGGGGACTTCATAATCGAATGCTATAAACTGGAATAAACCTACTTTCGGTTTTTGAGGAGGGGCGGGTGTCTCCACCTAAGCCATCCTGGGGGTTGTCTCGGCCCTCCCTGATGTTTATTTGGGTTTTCCTGACAGTTCATTCTGGGCCTAGTGGTGTGTTCTTGGCTGTGGGTCGATCTGTTTCATTCACGTCCACCATCACCAGCTCCCCTTTATTGATAAACTCCGTGCCTTGCTACCTGGCAGGCAATTTTCCGTCCCAGGCGGGTTGGTTACTGCTAGAACACTCAGCAGTCCCGCATCCAACGCAGGATCTCTAACCGCGTCCCAGACCACCGTTGGCTTGCAGTTTCCAGAAGGCAACTCAGGGCTTTAAAGGACCTGGCAGGACCCTCTCTCTTTTTCCTCTACGCCAAGACTGTGAGTAGGCAGGCTGGTGTGGATCTCCAGAGGCCCAGGCTCAAGCTTAACCGCCCGGCTAAGCCCCTGTTGCATGGCGATTTTCTGAGCTGCGGAGCGGGGTAATTAAATCCCCACTTGCACTCTGCTCTGCCTTGAGGATGGGCAATACTGGGGCTCGCGTTTGAGTGAGGATCGGCCAGAATGACCAGTTTCACCCGTGAGAGAGGCAAGACGTTGCCTTGTCTGCGTAGTGTCGCAGAAACTGCAACCCTCACCTCGCCCAAACCAGGAGAGCGTTTTAATCGCGACGTTTCGAGAAAAGGAGACTTACCTGCTTTCTTTGAGAGGTTTCCGCCCTGCGGGAGAAGCCGCCGACGGCCTGGAAAGCTGCTCTGCGCTGCGCACTCTCCGGCCAGCGGCCCGCACAGCCTCCAGCGAGGAGGTCTGGGATTCAGCAGCACTGTGCACCGTTGCCGAACGTGGGGTGGTTGCTGGGGCCACGAGGCCTTTAGATGGTCCTGCTCGGTTCCAGGGTCGCAGAACAGGCTGGAAATTCCAGGGCGATCTTGTCTTGCGCGTTTATGAAGAATCCTGAGCTAAAGGCAGGCAGAAGCCGAGAGAGGCATCCTGAGCGGGAGCGGGTCCTAGGTGGACCGCACGGCCGGAGCTCCAGCCGGGAGGCGCGGAGGACACCCACCTGCCCTGCAGGTCCCAAGGCCCTATGGTCGGGCTCCTCTCTGGCCCCTCCTGTTGCCTCACACTGCCGCTCCGCCTTGGCGGAGTGCGGACTCCCGAGCCGCCTGGACCGGGTTCGTTCCGCAGCGCAGAGGTGCGGGGGATGCTGCGGATAGCCGGGATCCGCAGAGCGCGAGACGCACCGGTCTCCGGCCCAGTGACGCTCCGCACCCCTGGCCCCAGGCCTTTACCTGTTCCAGGGCCTCGGAGAGATAGACGGACGCCAGCGGGCAAGGCCGGAGGAGGCCGGCCCGAGAGCGCGCCCCCTCTGCGGCTGCGGGCCGCGGACCTTGGGAGGGGTGACGGGGGCGCGCCCGCCGAGCTGAGCCGGGCTGGGCGCCCCCCGAGCTAAGGGGACCGAGGGCTTTCCTCCCTCCTTGGATTATTAAAAAGTTCATTTCCTGGCGAATCGGGTGACGTCAGGGGCCCGGCGTCGCGGTGGCGGGGCTGCCTGGCCCGGAGAAGCCGCCTCCAGTTACCCAATTACCGACTGTCAATCCTGCCGCCCCTCCCCCATCCACGGGGGCGGCGGAGACCTCAGCCCTCCCCCCTGCCTAGGACCCACCTAGGACCCCTCTGGAATTATTCCCCTGGGTGCTTGGTGCTTCCAAGGGGAGAGAGGCCAGATAAGGTCGCTGAGGTCTCCAATCCCCCCCCCCCGCACCTGTCTCGATTTCCCCAAAGATCTTGGAGTCGCATCCTCCTCCTCTGGACCTGGGAGCTTTGGTCTCCCCCTCGGTACCAAGGGAGGGAGCTATGTTTGTACACCCGCACTGAACCCCGTCTTGTCGGGATGGAGGTGTGCAGAACAACTCCAGGTAACTTAAGAGGACAGAGTGCTCAAAACCATTGCTTCCCTCTCCCCAGGGGCCGCCCTGGGACCCCTAGGAGGAAAAAAATGCCTAAGGCCCGGGGCATTTCCCTCCAGCCGGCGCTGGCGCCAGTCCCCCCGCTCCACCGCCTTACCCCAGGCAGTTCGGCCCGGTGGTCTGCGAAGGCCACGCCCGGAGAGGGTACAACCCTTCCCCCTCCCAGGAGCCGCCGGCCCAGCCACTACCGTCGGTCCAGACAGCCCTGGGAATTCTTGTGCCCCAAGCCCGAGTGCCCTAGAGGGGCCCACGGCCCCTTTGACTCTCGCTGTCCCGCTGCCGCCCTTGCACGACTAACCCGACTAGCCCGGATAGGAGGATGGAGGGTAGGGGAGGCAGCTGGACTCGGACTGGCCACAATCATTGGTAAAAGGATGTGGGGCTTCGTCCGAGAGAGTGGAGGACTGGGGTCCTGCAGAGAGACACCCGGAGTGTGCATGCCCTAGCTCCCGGGAAGCCAGAGCCCCCCGTTGGTGGCTAGTTGCTGGGAGGGTTGAGGTAGGAGAATCCAAGAGTCCGCAGGAGGGGTGTAGGGCTTGACCGGCGGCTAGGGTCCCCTGGGGGGCTTTGGCATTAGAGGCCGCCGGGAGGACGCTGGGAGGGGGCAGGCGGCCGATGGGGGCCAGCCCGCGGGTCAGTCCTGAAGTCCAGCGGCCCAAGCTGCGGGCGCAGCCAATGGGGGGCGGAGGCTGGGCGGCGCGCGGCGCTGATTGGCTGGCGCCGGCTTCTTAGGCGTGCGCGGCCCCCGCTTCATGTCTGTGCAGGAGTCGGCAGCTGGCGCCAGGGCGGCCAGAGGATGCCGAGGGGCCGGAGTCGGGCGGGCCTGAGGCCGAGGCGCGCGCTGTCCCCCGCCCCTATTCCGTGAACTCACCATCCTCGGGACGCGCTGTCGCTGGGCCTGCGGTTCCCGGGGCTCTCCTGGTGCCCCCCACCCTCTACTCCTGAGTCCTCCCCTCCCCGCAGCGCTGCGAGTGTAAGTTTGGGGTGCAAGGGGCCTGGAACACTCCTAGTTTGTCGGGGTCTCTACAGGGCTCAGGCCAGGACCTCTTGTGGGAGACTGCATTCTTGGCTGGAAGGGGAGAGGGAGCTCCTGTTGAGTGCTGGAGTACACTGGGGGCTGTCTCTGAGCCCCAGGGGCCGCGTGTGCCTGTGTGTGTGTGTGTGTGTGTGTGTGTGTGTGTGTGTGTGTTGAGGGGGGGTGTTCGAGACAAATCAATGTGTATATCCGTTGCCAAATGTAAGTGTCCATATGGGGTCGTGTGCCCTGAAGTGGTTATCTAGACTCCTCTTAACTTTTATTATCAGTTCATGCATTTATGCGCCCAGAGGGCAGGGGTTCGATGTGAGAGCCCAACTTTAAGTGCGTTAGGTGTTGCGTCTATTCCGGTCGCCGGTGTCAAGGACCTTTTCTGTGTGTGACTTCGTGTGCGTGGATGTGTGGCTCTGGGACCATGGGTCTCTCGAGTGTGCGTGGTGGAACCCCCTCCTCTATCTTCCTTTCGTTTTGAACCTTGTGCTTTCCTCCCACCCGGGACTGGTTCTCAGCGGAGCCCTGCTGAAGCTCCCAGGCTCGCTAGGCGGCGAGTGGTGGGACTTCGTGGGGATGTCAGAGGCCGGCAACGTCCCTCTCATCCCCTTGTGTCACCCAGGGCCGCCCCGCCTTCACCTAGATCCCTAGCCGCCACAGCGGACCATGGAGGTGGCGCCGGAGCAGCCTCGCTGGATGGCGCACCCCGCCGTGTTGAATGCGCAGCACCCCGACTCGCACCATCCGGGCCTGGCGCACAACTACATGGAGCCGGCGCAGCTGCTGCCTCCGGATGAGGTGGACGTCTTCTTCAACCATCTCGACTCGCAAGGCAACCCCTACTACGCCAACCCGGCCCACGCGCGCGCGCGCGTTTCCTACAGCCCTGCGCACGGTGAGCTCCTGCCCTCCCGAGGCTAGAAGCCGGGCGCCCGCGCCAGGCCGGGGAAGGGAGGACGGCCGGCTGCTGCGGCTTCCCGGATGTGGGATCTGGAGGAATCCGAGTAGCTGAGAAATCGGGCGGGGAAGGTGGAGGCAGTGGCCTCCTGCGAAGGGTCTGTGACCCATAGGGTTTCTGTCCATTTTCAACTGCCTTGGAGGGATCCCTCTGGACCCTGTCCCATGGGGTTCTTCCTTGTCACTTGTCCTTCAGCCTTGCACTTACAATCCTGATTACTTGCTGGGGTGTTATGTTTCTGGTGTTTTTAAAGGGTAGGGTTGCTGGTGGCTGTTCGGTGATCCAGCTTCATGGTTCTGAGGCCCCTGCCCATGCTCACCTACTGTCCCTCTGCTGCAGCCCGACTCACCGGAGGCCAGATGTGCCGACCACACTTGTTACACAGCCCAGGCTTGCCTTGGCTGGACGGGGGTAAAGCAGCTCTCTCGGCGGCCGCTGCTCATCACCACAGCCCCTGGACCGTCAGCCCGTTCTCCAAGACACCACTGCACCCCTCCGCTGCAGGAGCACCTGGAGGCCCTCTCTCTGTGTACCCAGGGGCTACGGGTGGGAGTGGGGGAGGCAGCGGGAGCTCAGTGGCTTCCCTCACTCCCACGGCAGCCCACTCTGGCTCCCATCTCTTCGGCTTCCCACCCACACCACCCAAAGAAGTATCTCCAGACCCCAGCACCACCGGAGCTGCCTCCCCAGCCTCATCTTCAGCAGGGGGGAGTGTGGCCCGGGGTGAGGACAAGGATGGTGTCAAGTACCAGGTGTCACTGTCTGAAAGCATGAAGATGGAAGGTGGCAGTCCCCTGCGCCCTGGCCTAGCCACCATGGGCACCCAGCCCGCCACACATCACCCCATTCCCACCTACCCCTCATATGTGCCAGCCTCTGCCCATGACTATGGCAGCGGGCTCTTCCACCCTGGAGGCTTCCTGGGTGGCCCAGCCTCCAGCTTCACCCCTAAGCAGCGAAGCAAGGCACGCTCCTGCTCAGGTAAAGCCAGGTGTGGGTCTTGAGGGCTTTCATGGTGGGGTGTGCCTCTGTGACAGAGGTTGTGATCTGGGGGATGGATCACATCAATACTCCTGAGAATGAGTAGCAGGTCTCTCTGATAGCCCACAGGTATTTGAGACCCCAGAGGTGGGAAGGACCCTGAAGCTTTCACCCAGACCTTGAGTGTTATTAGTACCCCCAAAGTTCAGTTCTCTTCCTCAACCCTAACCACGCCCTCTTCCAAGGCTGATAACACAGAATGGGACTCCTCATCCCTTTCTGCAAATGTTCAGTGGAAACAGCAACCTCATGCATTACTTGGGTGTGGGGGAGAATGCAGGGTGTAGGTGAGGGAAAGAGTCAGTGTGTACGTGTGTCAGTGAGCGTGTGTGCTTGCTTGGGGCACTGAAGAGGTCCAGGCCCTGAAGGAATCTGGTTCTCCAACTGGGCCAGTCCAGTCTTGGGATTACAGTGTGTCCAGACTTCCTTAGGAGATTTCCCCAAAGCAAAATTCCCAAGGTCTGTTTGTATCCTGGTGTTCCTGCTCCCTCTCCCTAAAGGTAGAGATGAGAGCCTCGAGGGTGCCCGCACCCCTTTGCCAGCAATAGCTAGATCAAGCTGGATTTGTCCAGAAATGTGGCCATAGGGCAATAATCCATGGCTCTGGGGCTCCTTCCTGTAGCTTTAAGCCTGGGAGGGGGAATGTTTTCTTCAACAATTACTCTGAATCCAGGAGCCCCCTTCTCTTGCTGGGATTGATAGGCAATTTAGTTCCAACTAAATCAGGAAGAATTTCCTGGGTACCATGTTCCCAAGGATCCACTCTGCTGAACTCCAGCCCCAACTTACTCTGAGTCCTGCTCTGCTTGGACCAGCTTTCTTGTCTTTTTGTAGCCCTTTTTTCCAAGGGTTTTTTTTTTTTAATTTTTATTTTATCTGAATTCCAGATGGCTTTTTAACAGAACAACAAAAACAACAGAAAACAAGGCCACTTAGGCTAAAGTGAAAGAGCTTCTTTTTTTCATTTTAAATAACAAGCAACTTCAATCATTGTTCAAGACTAAATTCTAGAGTTTTGTGGAAGGGGAGAAAAGCTAGGGTGAGAGAAAAGTTTTCTTTCTGATCCTGGTCTAAGCAGTGAGGGCTGAGGACATCGATGGGGAGAAGACTTTTAGAAAGGCAGGAGTGGGAGGAAATAGGAGAGAGGAAGAGGAAAGGGAGCTGCAGGGGGATGGGGGGAGGTTCCCCAGATCCTTCCAGGTCAGGCTGGGCAACTGTGGACACTGCCTGTGTTGTGCGAAGCTGGCCCTACTCAAAGCTGTCTCTTCTGGACTTGGCCCTCCTCAGCTGGCCCTCAGTTTTTGTTTTGGTGTCCTCCTCGTGTCTGTCCCCTTCCGCAATGCTGCTGCACTGATTCCCCTCCACAGCAGCATTTGAAATGGGGGATTTGGCCTGAAAAGACTGGACCTCTTCTGAGGGGACCTCCTAAGTTGTTCTTTCTGCCAGAACTGGGACTCAAAGTCCCCCCTGATGTAGGTGGATGAGTGGCTTGGTCCTCAGCCTCTGGCCTCTAAGTTGGTCCCCTTGTCTTTCTCCCTGTCTCCCTGCAGAAGGCCGGGAGTGTGTCAACTGTGGGGCCACGGCCACCCCTCTCTGGCGAAGGGATGGCACCGGTCACTACCTGTGCAATGCCTGCGGGTTGTACCACAAGATGAACGGGCAGAACCGGCCACTTATCAAGCCTAAGAGGAGGCTGGTAGGAGCGGGCACCTGGGGGCGGGGCAGGAGGGAGGCAGTAGTGGTAGGGAGGGGAATGGTGGGCCACAGGAGCCACCAACCTAGGCAGAACTGGCTGCTAATTAAGGGAGGAAGAAAACATTAAAAAACGAAATCAACCCAACAACAAAACCTTTAAATGCAGACATTTTACCACCTAAAAGTCTCTTATCAGTAAAATCACTTGGTGGGGGGGTTGTCAATCGGTCACTCTTCTTTTTGGAAGATTCTTTCCTGCCAAATTTCCTGCTCTGCATCCATCAGGCGCCCTCACACCCCTTGCTCAGGAATTCCCAAAACCCACGGTCCAGCGGTCCACCCTCATGCTCTGGCCTCTGCTTCGCTCTTTTTAAAAATAGGGTCATGAAGTACTTTTCCCTGTGGCGGCTCTGGCCACCCTCCCTCGCCTCCCCAGCTCACAGTCTCCTCGGCTTATTTAAATAACACACACCAGCCACCAAAAAAACCTGCCCTTTATTATTTTTCCATGGAGTCACCTATACTGTGTATTTTCATTTGAGTGATTTTTTAAAAAAATGTCCTTTCGGATCTCCTGCCGGAGTTTCCTATCCGGACATCTGCAGCCGGTAGATAAGGAAACTTCGCATATCTGTTTCCGGACCCGGCGAGTTTTCTGAGCCACCTCGGCTCAGTCCTGCCTCTCGCTGGGCTGTTTTGAAATTTCTAATACCCTCCACTCTGAAAATAATGTGTAAAATGCTAAGAATAATAAATATATTTTTTCAGGGCGAAGTGATTTATGAGCCTAAATCGTTCACTCGCTTTGGGGCCCTTTTTTTTTTTTTTTTTTTTTTTTTTTTTTTTCTTTTCTCCTGGAGCGGGCGAAGGCCGGTGCGGGCTGGTGGGGGCGGGAGGAGGATATGCCGCTGGCCCCTGAGTCAGAATTCCAGCTTCGGGCTGCTTACTCACCCTCACCCTCCCTGCCCCGGCGGCGGCCCGTCTTGGTCCCCTTCGTGAGCAGGCTCCAGCCTGGGGCCACTCTGCACTCAGATGGACTGGGCCCCCACCCATACTGGCTGCGTGGTGGGCGCAGTCCTGGGAAGTGCGGGGGGGGCACTTTGTTTAGCTGGGGCCAGCCGCGAGGATGCCCAGCCGGAATCCGTTCTAGGGAAAGGCTCCTTCTCGTTCTGGACCTTGACCTCCTCTTCCAGAGACAAGTCCTCCCTCTTCCAGACCCCACCTCTGACTGGCATTTCCTGGGGGGCTGGGAGTAAGGGGTGGCAGGTGAGAATTCTTGGGGAGCAGGGGTCTGGATCCGCAGAGAGCGGTAATGCCTTGTTTCTTCTTAGTCCGGTGTGGAGGCCTCGGGCTACATGTGACTATCGATAACGAGGAATGTGGTCAGTTCAGTTAAAGGAACTGAATGTTTAGTTTTCCTAAACTGTAGTAAAATTTAATTTAAATCTCTCCTCGTGACTTGCAGCTCCCATATCAGACCCAGAAGCTGCGTGCTTTAATCCTGGCCTCAAACTTCCCCAGCGCTCCCAGGGTCTCCTGGGTAGTGCAGGGTCTCCCCGTCCCGGCCTCCAGGGCCATGGCTCACCAGGATTCGGGGTTTCCTGGGGCGTAGTGGGGGAGGAGACCGGCGACCGTGGACAGCAGACCTCGGTTTCCCCACTTAACGCAACTGGATTGCTAGGCCGTTGAGGGGAGTGGCCGATTTTCCCTAGTGCCTTTTACAATACTGTAGATTCTAAGATCGGCCTTCTGAGAGCTCTTTATTCCAGTGTTCTGTGATTCCCGACTTCACTTCTCAAATTCTAAAATTCCTCGGTCTGAGATGCTTTGATTCCCCTATGGGACCCGCTGCTCCTGCTCTAAGCAGTGGGGCTGGGGGCGGCGCTCAGGGCTCGGAGGGAGGTCAAGGTGGGGCGTGGGAGCCCGCCCGCTGACGCTACCCCTCCCCTCCCAGTCGGCGGCCAGGAGAGCGGGCACCTGTTGTGCAAATTGTCAGACGACAACCACCACCTTATGGCGCCGGAACGCCAATGGGGACCCTGTGTGCAACGCCTGTGGCCTCTACTACAAGCTGCACAATGTGAGTGCGCTCCGCCCCTCCCTAGGGACCTCCGTTCTTTGTGCAGCGGGGCCAGCAGCCCCAGCCACAATCTCCAGCTTGGCTTGGCTTGGGAAGCTGTGGCCGCGAGCCCTGCCCAGAGCGCCAGAAGGGCTTCCTGTAAGAGGGGTGCCTCTGCTGCGGAGGCGGGCCGTCAGGGAAGTTGTACCTCGGTGTTAGGAAAAGTTGGGGGCAGGGGAAGATTGGGATGGGACCGTGTGGGCCATTTAGTGGGCCGGAGACTGCCATGTAGACTGTTTACCATTGAAGGAAACTCCTTTCCTAAACGGTGACAGTGCAGGATTAAGGACTTTTGTGACTGACACTCTAGAATGGGCTGAAGGTACAATTCCTAGCATCCTGGGGATCCATAGTCCAGGCCTCCCTTGCCCTGTGGAGGTAGATCTGAAGGGATCCCTGGGGGCAGGGAGCATGTCCTAAGGGCTCTATGACTGCCCCCAGGTAAACAGGCCACTGACTATGAAGAAGGAAGGGATCCAGACCCGGAACCGGAAGATGTCCAGCAAGTCCAAGAAGAGCAAGAAAGGGCCGGAGTGCTTTGAGGAGTTGTCCAAGTGCATGCAGGAGAAGTCATCCCCTTTCAGTGCAGCTGCCCTCGCTGGACACATGGCTCCTGTGGGCCACCTCCCACCCTTCAGCCACTCGGGACATATCCTGCCAACACCAACTCCCATCCACCCCTCCTCCAGCCTCTCCTTTGGCCACCCCCACCCGTCCAGCATGGTGACTGCCATGGGCTAGGCACAGCCTCCTGCTGGACAGACATGAATGTCGAGGAGGGTGACTGGCAGAGCCAGAGTGAGGCTGGGTACTCCCAGGATGGGTGGAATACACCCTTGCCTCCCATCCTTCCCTGGAGACTGACACCTTTGTGCCAACCCAGCCTAGCTGAAGCCACCTCTCCTTGGAGGACTCCCAGCCTTGTGCCACCATTACTGTGAATATTTCCAACTGGGCTGTGGTGGTGTATGCCCCGGGTGCTGTCCAGAAAGGTTCTTTCACAGACAGTTGTTTGGAGAGCAAAAAGGACAACTTTATTGCAAGAAAAGGAGGAGACAGGAGAGAGAAAAAAATGCAACTGTTTTTTGAAGGAAAACCGAGTAGGCAAAAAAAAAAAAAAAAAAAAAAAAAAAATAAAAAAAAGAGGGGTCCCCCCCCCCCTGCCCCCCCCCCCCACAGAGAGAGAGAGAGAAT